TTTGAACACCACAAAAGAAATTCCATTGACCCCTTTTGTATTGGATAGATGGCAGTAAGCTCAGATATCTGTGCGACCTGTGCAGAGTGAGGGCTCGCTCAGGCTTGATTGTTGACAAAAAAAAACAATTTATCGGCAACTGCTTCAGTTTTGGTGTGTGGCTAGCTTTTTCTTAATCTATGATTCTTTTGCCCTCTCTTGCCAAGAGTTAGATGAGAAGATTGAATATACTCTCATGTCTGTATAAGAAGCTACAGCCAGCAGCCAGTTTAGCACAAAGACTGGAAACGGGCAAACAGATAGCCTGGCTCTGTCCAAAGTGACAAAAGCTCACTAAATTACATGTTACATCTCATTTGTTTAATTTATACAAAAACCGACATGTAAAAATGTCAAATTACCTTTTTTTCAAGGGGGTGTCAGACCATTTCTGAGAGCAGCAACTTCCTGCAACCTCTGCTGGGCATTAGTGCCACAAATTGACAATTTTACACTGTATGGATTAACAGACGAGAACTAACTTGTTGCTGCTAGTCAGATTTTGTAAGCTTTAGACTGAGCCAGGCTAGCTGTTTTACCCCTATTTGTATGTCTTCGTGTTAAGTTAAGCTAACCAGCTGAAGGCTAGCAGGCCAGGTGATTCTCTGCCAAAGAGCGGATAAGCGTATATAAAGTGTAAAGGTTAGGTGGATTGCTTAAGAGTGTGCAGTTCTGGTGTTTATCTGCACAATGGAAGCTCCAAAATGAAAATGGAATAAAGAAAAAACACCCTATTGAAAACACTGTATCATAAATTGGGTATTATCTCTCAAACTGAACAGGAAATGTTTAATTTAATCTGAGGTAATCAAAGTTAACCTGCTCTCCTTTTGACTCAACAGCTTTCCTCTGTTTTAATAATTGCTTCCTGTCTGCCTTCTCTTAGCTTAACCCAGATAACTGTTCACTGTGTCAGGAAAACACTTCTTTACACTGTTGTGTTTGTGAGTGTGTGTGCCCTAAGCGTTCATTTGCTGTTTTTTATAGTCCTTTGAGGCCCGCTGTCACTGCTCTGTTCTTATACTATAACGAGACCTGTGGGACGCTGAAACACACATATACAAAAGGACACACACACATACACACACAGCGAAAGATAAAAAGTAATCTTTCAGGGCTCTGCAAAGCCAATAACAGCTTTTACAATGAAGGAAAAGGCACTACGCGAAGAATGACCAACATAACAGCATTACAGCAGGTCATGTAGCAAGGTTTGCTTCCATCTCTGAGGCTGCTGTCGGTTCCACAACGCCCCCAGAATTGATCTGTCACCTGCAGGATTTTCGTGTAAGGCTATAGACACCCCATCAACACTGGAGACGCTCATAACACTTCATCGTGCTAACCAGCAAATCGTTGGAATCTCATTTCCAATGTTTCCTTGGTGATGAAAGGCTGAGATGACAAACAAATAGATACCAGCTGCTGAGATTCAGCACGCTGAGGACAACTCATGACTGACACTGCAGCTGCTGCAGCGTCCTGAATTACTGAAGCTGTCACTATTAAATATGCTTTGCTTGTAATGTCACGTGTTGTTAGTGATTGGGGTATGATGCAGCTTTTTCACCTAAGATTGAAATATGTGTTTTCTGTTTTAAAAATACATTATCCATATGCTGTCCCAATGTCTTCATTTTTATGCCAAAAACTAAAAAGTAGGTTATTCAGTGCACATCTCCAGGGTAACAGGAACAACATGGATGCATAGCAACCCTTTAATATTTATAACTAAGTAAAACTCAAATCATAGTGAGTTTTACAACACACAGGTTCTTCGTATTGGTGTTGGATAAAATATTTAGACTCGGTCTAGGATACAGCTCTTACTTTTTCATCATATCGTATAAGCCTAAACACACTTAACTGCCTGATATCTGGCATAATAAAGGGCCAGTACTGATACCTCTACAACACAGCCAATACTGATGACATTTGTTTTTATCATAACCATGGACAACAATCCCTTTAAGAGTCATTGTACTATTGTTGTATATTTAATATTTCACTGTTTCAGTTGCCTTGAACAAACACCATTTCCCATAAGCCTTATGCCTTTGAGGGCTGAACATCACATCTTGACAAAAGAGCAGATCCATGGGCGACTCGAGGGGTCACGGTTAGTTCAGACATGTCTGTAAAAACAGCAAGTCAGAGGAGACTGAGCGATGGAGACGTTTATAGACAGCATTACAGCTAAAACGAATGGGAAAATTACTGTAGGACAAAAAAAAGCTACCACAAATACCCATGCTGCTGCGCTTATATATTTTCAGGGGAGCTGTAGTTTCATTGCTAAAATCACAAAGATTTAAATTTCTAACAGCAACTGCTGTAGAGGCAGTCAGTTTGTCTTGTTGAATATGGAAAGTAAACCTCAGGAGCACACTTCATGTGCCCATACAGACCATTGAAATGCCGAATGAGAGATTTTACTGAGCTGTAGAAGCTAGAGGCTCGCCCAGATGTGACGTCATGACTTCAGCTCTCTATAGACACAAAGCAAGATGACTGTACATCATACACACTCACACACACACACTCACACACTCACACAGTATTATATCCTCAGCTGCTCCGTCAGCCTTGTTGAGACAGCAGGTTGTCTAATTGACTGACTTGATTGGTCTCATATGTGTCTGCTCTCCCGTACAACCTCATTTGTCACTACTGGGACAGAAAAAAATGAGGAGGGAAGCAGACACATCTGACATCTGTGCGTGCGTGTGTGTGTGTGTGTGTGTGTGTGTGTGTGTGTGTAGACGTCAGTAGTAGAAGCGAGCAGGTAAAGAAAGAAGGTAAGAGGAAGGTAAAAGAGGCAGGAAGGAAATATCAGTATTCAGCCTCAAAAACACGACAGACTGAGATTAGAGAGGAAAGGAAGGATGGGAAGAAAGTAAAGACAGAGAGAGGATCAGAGGAGAAAAGGAAGAGAGAAAAGGATTTCAATTAGCCTGTTTGAACGCTTGCTGCTTGCTGCCTGCACTGGTGTTTGCTGATTGACAGCTCATGAAGAGCGTTCTGCCACATGCGCCTCACCCACTCACCCACTCTCTCTCTTTCTCTACCACACACACACACACACACACACACACACACACACACACACACACACACACACACACACACACACACACTTTGTAAAACATCCTGAGCTGCTCTGCCTTCTTTCCTGGAAACAGCCTCTGACAGAACATGTCGATCTCACCCGCCAACGTTTCCCCTTTGTTTTATGTTTACCCCCTCCTCGTCTTTTTCCTGGTAGAAAAGAAGAAAAAATAAAAAGAAACCCTCTCCTCCTTTCTCTTCTCGTTCTCATCTTCCACCTACTCCCTTCTAACCATTTCCACTTATCTTTCTCCTCCTCTGCTCATAACTTCACCTCCTCATTGCTCCTCTTCCTTTCCTCTTTACCTCTAAGTTTCTCGCCCTCCTTCCATCCTCGCCTCGTCATTTTGCTCCCTACGCTCTCGCCATTTATCTTCCACTCAGTCACCTCCCACGTTCCTATCAAAATCTCCTCCACCTCCTCTTTTTTCAAAATTCAATCTCAGCCAAGTGTTTTTGACAAGATTCGATGTGTCATACCCACAGAAACCTGTACAGACAGCAAAAATTCTCTGTATACAGTCTGTCCTCACTTGAAGCTGTTTTTTTGTTTTGTTTTCCAACTAAAGAAATTGTGCAAAAACAGCAATGAATTATTCTTTTTGTACTGACATATTAGAGTGATTAGCTATTGAATCATTCAGTGCTTCAAAAGTGTCTCTGATGTTTAGGAAATGAATGAATGATTGAACTTCAGAGAGCTTCTGCTGAATGTAGTAAATCAGTAGCAGAAACCGACTGAAAACTGTGACATGAAGATCTACGCTTGGTGACTCCTCGGATCCTGACTTGGAGCAGAGCAATCAATTCAAATTATTTGAAATTCATAGAGTTAATGGAATGGATTATTCATGGCCGCCTTAGAGCTTAAATCACATTTCACTTCCACTTCCCAGAACTTCACTTGAAGATGATCTCTCGTTTCCTCTCTCGTCAGTGAGTCTGGTTTCTGGTCTCTCTTTTCTCTCTCGCCCTCTGTTTCTGTGTCTCTCTTTTCAAATTACTTGCCTTTTTTCTCTTGATCTCACAAAACACACACTCTCACGCACACACCTGTGTGAGGGGAAACCCCAGGACTGTTCCACCATCTGTAACTGCTCAGCACTACTGCAGTGTGTGTTAACAACACAGAGAGACAAATATACCACTAATCCAAAAGCTAGAATTACTGTTAGAAGTAACAGCAGACAATGGTAACGTCATTTGACTCATGCAAGCGCTTTGTCATCACACACACGCACGCACACACACGCACGCACGCACGCACGCACGCACGCACACACACACACACACACACACACACACACACACACACACACACAACACACACACACACAGCTGCTCCCTCCTCTGCCAACATTTCTCATGGACACACTCCCTTTTCTGTGTGTGTGTATATGTGAGCAGAAACATAATTACAAAAGCCAGCAGCACACACACACACACACACACACACGCATGCACACATGCACACAAACACAAACACACACACAGTGGAGACAGTGTAGGATGTGATCAATAGCTATTGATCTGCCACCTTTGGCTTGTCTTGGCAGCGCTTCATGTTAGACATAAAAATGTCCACACCCGCCAGGATAGAGACATATGGCACACACACACCACACACACACACACACACACACACACACACACACAGATGAACACACACGCCCATGATTTTAATTTAATCTCTATATTATAAATGCTGTAAAACAAACACCATAAAATAAATACACAGTGAAATAACTTGGATCAGTAAAGTTATACTAATTCACTAGAGCGTGTGCACACACACACACACACACACACACACACACACACACACACTTACACACACTCCTCCGTCGCCTCACCTCTGTAGCACATAGTTAGCCACAGCAGCTCCAGCACCTGACCCCCAAACTCACACACGTCCAATCCCAGCATGGTGCCTCTCTGCGGGGGCTGCACTCTGTGCGACGGCTGGCAGAAGAAAAACCACAGAACCCGGGGGAACCTCCACAGGTAGCAACAAAGTAGCAGAGGCAGGGACGGGTTAAAGAGAAGAGCATCAAGCAAAAAAGTACTGGATTGGAAAGATAAGGGGGTCAGACGAGGAATCTCCTCCTCAGAGGAAATGTGAAAAAAAAAACTGTAGTTGGAGGGGTTGAAGGGGAAGAGGAAAAGGGCTCGCGTGAGAGAGACAGAGGCAGAGAGGCAGGGAGGGTATCCTTGGGTGTGGGTGTGGATGTGATGGGGATGTGTGTGAGCAAGAGAGGGAGAGAGAGATAGAGAGAGAGAGGATGGAGGGAGGGAGGGCGAGGGAGGAAGCCGGCTTTCTACACTTCTTCTCCTCCTCTTTTGTAAACTGGAGCAACAAAGGAAGAAATCTAAGGGCAAAAATGCTGTCAGCTGTTTGTTTTTTTTTATTTTTGCATGCAGCACCGAGGATGCTGGGAGCTATCGGTGGCAGGCAGACGCTGGTTTAGCCGGCAGAGCTGTCTGCAGCAGCAGCAGCAGCAGCAGCAGCATGGGTGTGTGTGTGTGTGTGTGTGTGTGTGTGTGTGTGGGTGCGTGCGTGTGTGTGTGTGTGCGTGGTACTCAGACGCTGGCAATCGATTCGCAGACGAGCAGCGAACCCCTCCCCTCCTCCTCCTCCTCCTCCTCATGTCATCAGCCCAGAGACTGCAATGAGCTCATCCTTTACCCCCTCCCTCTTTCTCTCTTTCCCTCCCTCATTCACTCTTCCTCGCCTTCCACGCCTCATTCCTTCTCACGCACCCCCCCCAACTCTTTCATGCTTTTATTTTCCTCTTCATTTTTCATCACTTTTATGAATTCTCGTGTGGTGTCCACTCTCTCCCTCCACCTATTCATCACGCCATCTCTCTCTGTATCTCTATTTATCTTACCCCCCCCTCTTCTTTATCTCCCTCTGTCTGTTAGTGACCACACCCTGTCAGCAGTATGCTTCAATTGTGACTCTGACTCTCTTTTTCTCCATCATCATTTCGTCTTTTTCTCTCCTCAGTTTTTACCTCTCCTCTCCTCTGACATGCCTGGAGCAATGTGAGCGGCTGTAGTACTGTAGAATACAAAAGGGGGTTGCTTCTCCCACTTGATAATCAGACACATTCCCTTTCACACACGTCTGCACACACACACACACACACAACTTCTCTCTTTCTCTGTCTCTTACTCTCTCATACTCCAGCAAACATTAGCATGATGTTATTTTACACATACATTTACATTGTTCTTCCCAAAATGATGTGTACAGTATTCGACTTCAGACGAATTATCAACTGTAAACTGACCCAGATTTGCTTTGTCACATTAGAATTAATGTTTAAACTGAGGAAACTGACTGACAAAATGCAGGATTTTAACGGTGAAATGGGCCGGTTTGATAAATGAGGGATGTCGGCTCGTGTGGTTGGAAAGAAATTAAAATTAGTGAGGGAGGAAGTGAGAGCAAGCAGAGATTAAAAAAAATGTTAAAAACCACTGAGACAAAGGAGCGATAGAGCTGAGGCTGTGTCTTGATCCAAACTCAATTTGGAGATAGTTTCGTCTTTGCTTTCTTGCCAGCAAAGAAGAGTGAGCTCATGTTGGAACAGAGAGAGGATGTTTACAGGTCTGAGCAAGACCAATACATTTGGGTCAATATTGGTCTTTCATTGAATAATAGATATCAGCCGTGGTTCACTGCTGATCATATAAATGTTTTAGATACAGGGTTTTTAGATTACTCGAGAATGACATCAACCTCAACAGCATCAAGTAATTATCATGTAAAATCAGTGACAGCATGTCATTTATTTCATAAAGACCATGAATATTGACTTATAATATATAATATATGCTATTAATTGCACTGCATCCATCAACTTCTTTTCCATTTTTGGACATCTGTGCCGTCCTTAGTGACCCTGGTGGCGTCATGTCAAGCATCTATTGGGTGTATTTTACAAGGGGACATGGAAATAAACAATTTAGAGCATTTAATTTGCACACTTCCGGTATGTGTGCTTGAAAAGCTAACATCCTATTACATTTTGCACAAATTGGGGACAGCAGCTGCCTACAATAATAGCTTATTTTGTCATTTTGAGTTTTTGCTAAAACACTGAACAGCATACATGCAGTTTAGAGTCTGTCTAAAATATAAACCTAAGAATTGACTTCCCAGATACAAACTGAATCTATTTTTAAGCCCAAAGGGTAAACGAGACCTGAACACGAATTTCAGGCCGACCTGACTCACTAGTGTGAAGCACAGCTCGAGGTCAGCACAGACGGTGAGGTCACTGTGATCTCAACCACAAAAGGCTGAAATAAAATCAAGACTAATAGAGATTATTTGAAACATATATCACAGATCATTTTATAAAAACTAGATGCGTGTTTCACAACAGTGAAGTCATTTTGTTCTCTGAGTAAAATCACATAGCACTCAGGTGTTTCTCTCCATACAAAAATCCTCAAACTGGCAAAAATCTTGAGCCTCATTGTACAAATCCATCATTTCCAAATGGTTAACGACAGTTAAAACTGATTTAATACTGTTTGCCCTACCAATAACCCCTGTCAGTGTCAGCAGTGGGTCTTTCTCCTGTCTGTCCTAAAGCAAGCTGTGCTATAAACCCATTATACTCTTATTGCTTTATGGAAATATAAATCAGCAGCAGCAGTGGTCCCCGGTGGAATGAGTGGCATCTATAAAATGTGTGCTTGAACAAGGTAGTCATGGTTGGTGTCATAATGAGTGTCTCGTCATAAGGAGCACCCCGGGGTTCAGCCACGCAGACACACATTTTTAGACTCAAACAGGAAGAACCTGATAAAATGCTCAGCAGGTACCGTATTACCTTCATAACATTAAGCCAGTAGTTCAGCCCTCAAATGAACCAGTCAATCACTCATTTGTTTAGGCAAATATATTATATATTTATGTATATAGCTGGTTATCAGATTGTAACGATGATTACAACATCAGATTATCAGCCATAACACTATGACCACCTGGGCACGCGGTCAGAATGTTCTGCAGCCCCATACCAACAAACTGTGATGCACTATGTTTTCTGACACCTTTCTTTCAGAACCAGCATTAATTGTTTCAGCAGTCTGAGCTACAGTAGCTCGTCTGTTGGATCGGACCACACGGGCCAGCCTTCACTCCCTGTACGTGCATCAATGAGCCTTGAACACCCGTGACCCTGTCTCCGGTTCACCACTTTTAGTTCCTTGGAGCACCTTTTGATAGGTACTGACCACTGCAGACCGGGAGACCCCACAAGTGCTGCAGTTTTGGAGATGCTCTGACCCAGTTGTCTAGCCATCACAGTTTGTCAGAGTCACTCAAATCCTCACACTGCTCATTTTTCCTGCTTCTAACACAACTCTGAGGACAAAATGTTCACTTGCTGCCTGATATATCCCATGCACTGACAGGTGCCATGATAACCAGATAATCAGTGTTATTCACTTCACCTGTCAGGGCTCATAATGTTATGGCTAATCGGTGTATACAGTCCAACATTAAAGCAACTGTTGGACGTTTTGGGAAATATATTTATTCACTGTCTTGCCAAGAGTAGACCACTCTTACGTCTGCACGGTAAATATAAAGCTACAGCTTAGCTTGGTTTATCTTGGAAACATGGGGAAACAGCTAGTCCAGTTCTGTCCGGAGGTAACGAGATCCTCCTACCAGCACTTCTAAACCTCACTAATGATCACATTATATCCTGTTTGTTTCATTTGCACACATTTGGTTTTTCAGTGTTGTGAAGTCTTGACGTCACTGAAGAGCCAGTTGTAAAACCACAACTAGCCGATTTAAAGCTCCTGTTATGTAACCACTGTCCTGAGTACTCTTCACAACATGTGTCTTGGATGGTCCAATCACAAGTGTGCAGCTTTAAGTATGTTGGTTCATACCTGGCATTAGAAAACGTCTTCTCATGCGTGTCTAGCGACCATCTGACTTCCCTGCTCTGTATGCAAAGACCAAATGCGTTGTTGTTTATAACCAGCAGGAGGCAGCAATGCACTTGCCTAGTCTGCTAGAAATTAAGGGAAGAAGAAATTTTTTTCTATTCTTTTGTAGGCTTCTTACTATTTGGCGCAAATGTGTGTATCGTATGCAGGCGGCTCCATTCACAAAAATCCACTTTGCCTGTTGTTTTGGCTTCTTCTTGTTTCTCATTTTAATATGACACGTTTGCGTGCAAATGAGTACATACTGCTCACATAGAGGACGTCAGTTGAGTAGGCAGTCCTTCAGTGTGGCCCAGAAGACCAGACCACCTCTGAATATGTCATTGCTGTGCACCTGTCTGTCTGTCTCTCGCTCTCTCTCTCTCTGCCTCTCTCTCTCTCTCTCTCTCTGTCTCTCTCTCTCTCTCACCCCAACTGGTCGAGACAGACGACCACCCACCTAGAGCCAGAGGATCTGTCCTAGGTTTCTGCCTTTTAACAGGCAGTTTTTCCTTGCCAAGTGCTTGCTCATGGTGGTACTGTTGGGTTCTGTAATTAATGTTTTAAAGAGTTCGGTCTAGACCTGCTCTATTTGAAAAATGTCCTGAGATAACTTCTGTTATGAATTGGCGCTATACAAATAAAATTGAATTGAATTGAATTGAATTGAATTGACACCTGTACTTAGAGCTGACCACTTGTGATCACCCAAGACGCATGTGTTTGCCAGGTGTAAACGGGTCCATTGCTATCTCTGTTGCTGTTTATAAGATCACGGTCAAAAGTTATTTTGTCATCTGGATAAGGTGCACAGGTAGTGCTGACGATCAAGGAAAAACAATTATCATACAGTAACATACCTCAAATTGAATTCACAGACTGATATCACATGGATTTGCAAGTGTAATCTGCATTGATTTGGCAAGTTATTCCATTAAGCTGTGGGTACATGAGCTCTGGTAATTGCTTTCCCCCTCTCTCTCACACACACACAGAGATACAGTAAGCTATACACTTGGGGTGTGTGTATAAGCAGTGTCTAAATGGTTTTCCGACAGCATATTGGGTGGGGAGCATTTATCTCTGCATAGTGTGAAAAGAATAACCCGACTCATTTGGAGCCCATTCAACCGTAGCTGCCTGATTTAGTCAGACTGAGAATGACTGAATAACCCACACGCTAATTCTCTGAGGGAATGAATAATTACTTTATGTAGTAAAGGTAGTCGCTGGGCAACAATGAATGGATAAATAAATACAAAGGTGTTTGTCAAGCAATGATTGAATACCCAAAGAAGGAAACAGAGGTGGAAATCAAGTCTGTCAGAGGATGAAGGAATGAGTAAGAGGCTTTTTTTGTCAGGTGATGAGTGAGTATAATGTGTGAGAGTTTGACTCAATTTATCAAAGGCAGAGGAGGAGCTTCTGGCAATAATGGGACACAAAGCCACAGACTGTACAGTATGTCATGATAATCAATGCACATTCTGTAAATACACTCACAGAAAGTCACAGTCAACAGAAATGTCAGAGGTCGGACCACTTTAGACTCAATATAACAAAATAAAAAAAATACATTTTATT